GGCTCTACTGGACGCCCCACCTTAGCGAGGACTGAATGCGAATTGTTGAACATAACAAACAAGGATGCCATCAATGACGAGAGCTGTCTCCATTGTTGTGGACACTTCTATTAAACAAGATCTGCCTGCGAAATTTTCTTTGCGGACGACCTGACCATGATGTGACTTGATATATGTGTGTATGTACATAAATCCCGATAAGGGCTGTACATTTCATAAAGAAATAAAATATTTCATCCTGGGCCACTAGATCTACGAGATATCAAGGGGTCATTGTGAATATTAAGTTGTCGTAAAGACTGCCTTGCCCCGTCCACCGCATTTCTTGGATGGCGGTGGTGTCCTGCCTTGGTCTTCGCGAGGACATCAACTAGCCGGACAGTACTTTAAACGTTTGCCGTGGTCGTCATTAAAAGAAGGGTGTCTCATCCGGGGCTTGTTTTAACTTTTCCTTGGGAGTGGTTTTTACGTGACGGGACCCAAACCCAGGGCACGCAAAGTTTTTCGCCTACTAAAATATAAATATCCGGACGTAGCGAGCTGCGCTTGAACCGTACACAAAAAAAAAAACTCTTGTGTCCAGCCCCTGGTGAATGGCAATCAGAAAACACAAAATCACTGCAACTTCTAGTAACCTCAATTGCAAGTACCTTGTTAAATTTAACTAAATAACAACCAACCTTTGAAACCCTTGAATTTAAATTAGCAATAAATACTTAAACACTGGCTTATCTGCTACACTGTAATGCATATTAGGTGTAACAGTTTACTAGACGTACTTCCAAATTTATTCAGTGATAAGTTCTTAAGCAGTTTGTTAACCACACTACCTACACAAGTTCATTACGTACTTTTATTTTTTTGATTAAACCTTGTACGTTTTCCACGTATTTTATATGTATGCCCATGGTTACTTGGCATTTTTGAATTTTCTTTGATATCGCAAAATTTTATCACACAAAACATTAGTAGTACAAGTGCAACCGTGCGAACTGCGCGACCAAGATATGGTTTAATTAACATTCACTTTTGATTCCTGATTTCACGACACTCACTGCCAAGTCGAAAACAGCGCTTAGCGCATTAGTGAACCAACTTTAGGCAAACTTAAGTCACAACTTTAACAGTTACTATCAAGCTTAGAACTAACTGGCGCGCATTTGCGCAAAGTCAATAAACAACAAACATATAATTCACTCAGAATCTCAGCATTTTCATCTCGATTAAGTTTATTTGATTCATTTATTTATTTCTCGGCTAATGCTGCGGTTTGGCATTAAACGCCGTTCAAGTTCAAAAAATTACCTTATTTGCGGTTTGTTTTCAATATTCTGCTTAGTATGAGAATCACTTGCAATTTCAAAGCTTGAAGAGCACGTATGCATCTCTCCGAAATAAACAATACCTATTCAGTGCAAACGATTGGTGTGATTAATGTTTCGAAAAATTCGCATGCTGCCAGTTGCAATTGAACATTTAATTAAAGAAAATGGCACAAACGCGTTACATACTGCCGCTTTTGATGCCTGAAAGACAATTGGTACGCGCTTTTCCAGCGCCCTACAATGACGTCGTCTCACCTTATGCCGAGGTGAAGGATTTTTCCAAAGCAGTGCGTTTCGAATCGCAATGGCAGCCAAAATTAAAATTACGTCCACGCAAAGTTATACTCATCGGCGATGTGGCGGTGGGTAAGACAACAATGGTGAATAGGTAAGCGGTGTTTTTAGTTGATTGTGAAAAGAATTTTATTAATATCTATTTTTAGATTTTGTTTCGATAAATTTGCTGAAAAATATAAAGCAACAATTGGTGTCGACTTTGAGATAGAGAACTTTAATGTGCTGGGACAAAATTTCACGCTTGAAATGTGAGTAATGAATATTTATTTCCACCACCGAAATAAATAATTTTCTTCATGTTGGTACCGAAAGTGTTTTTTTTAATTGTCGATAACCCAATGTATAGCTACTGATCATAGGTGTAATCCCGTATTCCTCGGACTAAGACTAGTACAACTGTCAAAAAATAAAAATTCGGTCAGAGCGAGAGAGTAACATTGAAAAGTACGCGATCGCTTTCTAGTAAAAAATCAACATAACCTCCAAATTTTGGTTGCAAATTTTTGCTTATTTTGTATGTAAACACACTCAGCTCAAACAAGTAAATAACCAAATATAACTTCTAGTTCATTAGAATCTACTTAAACAAGTAATTAAATAATTTTCAACACGAATTAGCAGAGGGCACTTTTCTTTTGTTTACAATTTGGTTGCCAAACACACTACAGCTGATCGTTTGACACATTTACCAGAATTTTCCAGGAAAAAAACTTCGGACTAAAACTGGTAACTTCTGACTCTCTTTTTTGTCCTCTCAATAGTCAGAGAACCGAGTATGGAATCGATTTCCAGTAAAATCTAACTGATTCTGACTATTTCTGACTACTCCGGACTCGTACGGGATCCCAACTCATGTTATTAAAATTAAGCTTCACTAGTGCAAAAAGAAATTTAAGATTGACCAACTATGTATATCAAAAAAAAAATTCAATTAAAGAGTGCACTTTTCTCAAAAAAATTTGGCTATATCTCAAAAACTGCTCTACTTTCTTATAGTTTGATTTCGTATTCGGATTCAGCTGGAAATTTTCCATTCAGAGCCTTATCATGAGTTTCATTTTCCCCGAACCGGTTCACTTTTCACTTGTGGTTTCCATGGTTTTACTATGGACGGATGACAAATTTTCGGGTGAATTTTTTTTTTCAGGCGAAACTCATGATAAGGCGGATTATAATTAATATGAAAATTTCGAAGATTGGATGTTTTTTTAGTACGATTTTCTCTTAATTTTTTTCTCTTGCACCTAGGTGGGATACAGCCGGCCAAGAACGCTTCAAATGCATTGCACAGGCTTATTATCGAAATGCTAATGGTAAGATGGCAGTTAATGACTGCCGATTTATTGAATGACATAGTTTTTATTACAAAATTTATTTGTAGTTATTATAGTCGTTTTTGATATGTCCAAGCCGGAAACGCTGAATTCAGCAACAAAATGGCTCAAAAGCGCACTGGCTGTTAACACAATACAAATGCCATTAACTTTTTTAGTTGGCACCAAATCTGATATGTTGGTAAGTTTATATACATAGTAACACATATTTTAACACATAAATACATACATATGTACGTTATTAAAAAAAAACAAATGTTTTGCATATTAAATTCATTAAATTAAATAAACTCATAATTTTTTTTTTTTTTCTCAGACCAAAGAAGAATTTGTACGCGTTGAACGTCTGGCCGCAGATGTTGCTGAAGGTATTAAAGCTGAATATTGGTCAGTTTCTGCGCGAACTGGCTATAAGGTTGTGGATTTTTTTCAACGTGTAGCCGCGCTATCCTACGAGACTGCATGCAAGGATGCAATTATAGAGCGCCACTTTTTAGAGAAATCTGTGGCGGTGCGTTTACAACGAAAATCAAAACAATGCGGTTAGTTGCACACATACATACATATGTATGTAAATATGCTTAATTCTGTGTTCACAAGGAATAACCACTAAAGTCTGAAACCAAAATTTTGAGAAAATCTTTTCTTTTTTTTTTTTAATTATGGAAAAAATTAATATTAATAACTTATTCCATTTTTCGTTCATAAATTAACATTATTTTTTTGCAATTTTGGTCCTAGTCGGTTTTAGCGATTATGCCTTTTCATCATGGAATTATTTCTAAGCGTGCGATGTTTTCTATTTTCAGATTTTCGCAAAAACTATCTAGGAAATAAAGCGACGAAGGAAAGAAGCTTATGCTTTTGTGCATAATATACGATTAACTAAATTGTAGACAATTATATTTTAAGTAATAAATTATATGTACAAACATACGTATGTATGTATGACCAATATGTCTTACATCGAACATTTATTTATACACAAGGAATGATATTTTGTTGAGGAAGCGGAAATAAATAATTTTGATACCAAAAACACATTAACAAGTGCCAGTGCTAGGTAGAAGAAAAACAGCACTACTTACCACACTACTACACAACACATCGCAAGCGGCCAATTATTTCACTTATGAAAATCTTTGCAAGAACAACGCCATATTGACTGCTGAGTTTTCGCGTCGCCCTATCAATTTGCTCTTAACAAATACTTGCACGCTGATTAATTTACTTCATTTCACACATAACATTTTAACACTATTAACAAATGACACTTTTAAAAATGCTTAGAAAGCCAAAGGACGCTTCTGCCTTCCCGCCATACAATGCATTGCTTGGCAGAAGCTTCGCTTGTTTTCAAGCAAAATAAGGCATTGTATGCGCATTTTTCACACACTTGGTGGGCATATTTGATTTATTACACATTTTACACAAGCATCAACGTGCCACACTGCTTTTATTTACGGATATTCTTTAACTTTTAACAGTTTTTCACTTTGTCTTGGCACAATCAATTCATTTCCTGTTCTTGTAATTTTTCAACTAGCGCAGAGTTGCATTTCGAATTTCGAATATTGTGCGGAAGTTCGAAAAATTACTAGCTGAAACAGGGTTGCTCAAAATTTCTTGTCGCTTTGAAAGAATAAAAATTAAATAATTTTAATTAACGAGTTTTCTGTTAAGGAAATGAAATAATGGTACGGATAAACTCGATAGCAAGAAGAAGAAACTAAACAGATTTAATTAAGTTATAAGATACAAATTTTGGTCATTCATCACGCGTTTTATAAAATGTTAACACTTTCTATTACTACTGTCAAAGGACGTAATATTCGTTTCTATTGCGTTTAATATTTTGGAAACTTTAGGCTCTAAACAAAAATTTAAAGCCTATTCATTAAAAATATCTTAATAACTTCTCATCAGGGAAATACAGTGTTGCATTTGCTATTTACGTTTCCCGACACACCCCAAATTTTGACGTAATCACCTTTCGAGTTCGAAATTCGAAAATACGAACTTCCGCCTTTTTGACAAAGACGGAAGATTTTCCTTTCCATTTCTTTTTTTCGTAGTAATGGCACCCAAAAAGCCTGCCGAGAAATCCGGTAAGGGAATTATACCAATTTAATGCATTT